AGCTCTGGTAAAAACGAAAACAAAACGAGAAGAGACGAGGAGCTTGTCCGACTCACGGTTCTGGCAGCTGGGAGGCCACAGGTGTGTGAACGGCTGTGTCCGGGCTGCGCGTGGAGTGGAGGTGGCAGGCCTGGGCAGGCGCTGAGGCCCGAGCTCTGGGCGGGCTCCCACCTGCCGCCTCCCCGCTCCCCGTAAGGCCACCTGCACACGATGATGGCCGTGGCGCAGCTCAGCTGCTCTGAATTCCTTTTCTGGAAAAGTCATTTGCTCGGATTAGATACTTACCTTTCCACTGTTATTTAGAAGTGAAAACCAGCCCGCTTTCGTGAGTTTCTAGGCCCGGGGTCTTAAATAGTGGAGAAGCAGAGCTGGAAGCCTGCGGGTCTCGTTGTGTCTCTAATGGCCTGAGCGGGGCCCAGGAGGCTAACCAGGAGGTGGGAAGGAGAATGCGTGGGTACCTTCCGGGGAAGACGTAACTGACTCATTCCCACCATGGTCCCGAGCTGATGCACGGCTCCACACCCAGGACGGGGCTCTCTCACTGAGCTCTGGAGTGCTGGACGCTGGCCACTGTGTCGGTGCCCAGCGTGTTTCTCCGGGAGAGGGACAGCCACGCGCCCTGTCTGTGTTGTGTACATGTGATTGTGATTTTAGACCCTGGGTTACAGCTTCAGGTGAGAGTAAATCAAACACACTGGGGGCGCGGGCTGGCTACCGGAGCCCACCCTCTAATGTGGCCCGTGCCCAGCGCCGCTCGATGCCCCCTGGCGTGTACCCCTTGATCCATGTAGTTTGAGTGTTTAGCAGTTCATGTTCTCTGCCCCGTGAGAAGGCTGGCACCTTGCGAATCGGGGCTGGTGCTGATCTGCGGAGTCTCCGAGTCCTGGCAAGGGACAGTGTTGGCCAGAGTGGTAGAATGAGGGGCGAGGGGTCATCTCACTCTGCTTCTGAACCCGGGGCAGGCTGGGGCTGGGGCTGGGCGTGGGCAGCCTTTGAACCCTGGCAGCTTGGTCGGTACCAGCTCGGAGGAGGCAGCTCTCGAGTGCACTCGCCAGGCCCCCAGGTCCGGCAGACAGAGCCCAGTGCCCAGACGGCGGTGCACACAGCACACTCTCTGTCAGGTGTGAGATCGGGACTCCCGCAGGACGGTGAGGCTGGTGGGAGAGGCAGGGCTTCCCAGATCCTCCTTCCTGTGCGGCATGGAGGGCTCAGGCCAGAGCGCTGCGAGGCCGTGTGGGCCCAGGATGGGGTGCAAGCCTCAGGCCTGGGCGGAGTTCAGGCCTTGGACCCAAAGAGGCTCTGGTGTGGCTGTCCCTCTCCAGGGCCACTTGACCATCCTTGATGGCTCTGAAAGCCCTATCAGGCAAATCATGGGTGGCACATGGGGCTCCAGGAGGGGGGTTTGCACTCGTGTGGGGCCTGCCACTCCTTCTTTCTGATGGGCAGAATTTCTACCCCACCTGTCCCGCCGTGCCTCTTGGGGTGCAGGGATTTGCTTTGGCTTCGCAGGCTCACAGGGGTGTGTCTGCTGGAGTCTCAGATGGAACCAGCCCTCAGATCAGTGCAGGGGCAAGCCAGGACCTTCGGAACCACGGGGTGACTCAGATGGGAGGTACAGGGCAGGGGCAGGGGTGGAAAGCATGTTTGGATGTTCCCAAAGACTCCCGTGCTGGGACTTGGCTGTACCGTGAACTGTTAAGTGAAAACGTAAGCCCTCCCTGGTGTCCCAGGACAGGGCCTTCGGGTGATAAGGTCATTAAGAGGTCGTGACAGTCCTCTCGGCTACAAGAGGGAGAGCAGAGCAGGCAGGGGCCGACGGCAGCGGCTCT